AAGCGGGATTCGTGGGTCTCCATGATCCAGGTGTTTGAGTAAGTGCATTTGCCGTGTCTGACAATCGCGCCACTAATCGTACTAGATACTTCATCTCCCACCACTTGGCAAAGTCATTCGAGTCGGTCTTTGGTGGTGTCACTTGCTTGCCAGGTTGTTTCTGCATGTACCGCATCAAGGCTCCCAAGGGCGGTCAGAACTACTGGGTCCCGATCCTGGCTAACCCTGACGTCGTCGAGCACTATTCGGAGAACGTGGTCGATACGTTGCACAAGAAGAATCTGCTACTACTAGGTGAAGATCGTTATCTGTCGACGCTTATGCTCAAGACGTTCCCCAAGCGGAAACAGGTTTTTGTGCCGCAAGCCGTTTGCAAAACCACTGTACCGGACGAGTTCAAAGTCTTGCTGTCACAGCGCAGACGATGGATTAATAGTACGGTCCACAACCTGATGGAGCTTGTGCTAGTGCGAGATCTGTGTGGCACCTTCTGCTTCAGCATGCAGTTCGTTGTGTTCATCGAGTTGATCGGAACCCTGGTCCTCCCGGCCGCCATTGCCTTTACCTTCTACCTAAGTAAGCCCCCGTACCCCATCTTGAAATTCTGGCTTTGCTGACCACGTCCAGTCGCTATCGCTATCAAAGCCGCCATCCTCCACACCGAAGCTCCTGTCATACCCCTCATCCTGCTAGCGCTCATTCTTGGTTTACCCGCGGTTCTTATCATCGTAACGGCTCATCGATGGTCTTACGTCGCCTGGATGTTCGTCTATCTGCTGTCACTGCCTGTTTGGAATTTTGTGCTTCCGACGTATGCCTTCTGGAAGTTTGATGACTTCAGCTGGGGAGATACTCGAAAGACGGCGGGCGAGAAGACGAAGAAGGCAGGACTGGAGTATGAGGGAGAGTTCGACAGCAGCAAGATCACGATGCGCAGGTGGCATGACTTCGAAGCAGGTAAGGAACACAACTTCTCGCGATAATGCAGTCACTGACGTTGGGCACCAACAGAACGAAGACTCAAGACACCAGCGGCGACATCGGCTGGCGGATGGCCACCGCAGCAACAGCAGCAGGGATACGATCAGTACTATGATAATTGATTTCGCAATGAGGCGTCGCGTAGGAGCGGACTGCATATGTACTACATGATTTGCTGCATTCCTGGGGTGTTCGTTTTAGCAGGCAATTTCTGTCATGGTTTATGAGATGGTGACATTTCCACTTCGCCGTCGGGGTCACGTAGGCACCTCGCACTAGTAATACATTCTTACGGCATGTCGTCAGCTCTCGCGAGACACGGCATACCGATGCTGAAATACCACTTTGATGAATGACCTCGCATCAGTGTTCCTGTGCTGTTTTGCAGTCTCAAGATCCGCCCTGTGCGCCCAGCGCCCCCGCAGGGTGGTTCGAGTTTCGCTGGAGCGATCTGTGGCGTGCTGTCGTGGAGTGCCAGCACCGTTGTCCACAGGCAGAACGGCAAGGAGAGACAAAAACGGCGTTCGAGCCACAGTCTGGGGAGGCGCGGTGGGGACCGATGTCTGATTTGCTCCACGAAATAGCCGTGCAACCGTGGGCCGGCGCTCAGCACGTCACCCAGAAGATGCGCTTAGCGAAGCTGGTGTGCTGTCTGTGTCCCAAAAGAGGCCTGACAAGAGCAGATGTGGACGTGGGTGTGTAATGGTGGGTGGCCACTGCATTCTCGTCGCGGGGCCTTGGCTCCAGAAGGTTGTCGTGTTGGCAGTGCCATGTGAGTTGTATCACGGTGCGTGGACACGCCGCAGCCGCTTAACCCTGAGCGCCTGGTGACAGCGTGGAGTCGAGCAGCGTGAATACACAGATCTAACGTCTGGAGATCTGAGAGATGGTGGAGTCGCTAGTCAGGCTTGGGGGTGGGCTGTCCGATCCCCCCGTGTTCAGACTAGAGGGCCCGCGGAGGAGTGCTCGATGGGCATATTCGACGACGTGGAGCGTGGCATATATATCTGACGGCATTGGAGCTTCAGAAGCCGTCCCGACGCGCATAGCCATATTCATGACCGTCACCCTGCCCTGCCCTGCAGCCCAGCCCAACTGTCCCGTAGCCAATACCCGACTTGTGACTTGCCAGAAGCAACCCCACAATTAGCCTGGACGTACCTCTGTCGCATGCAGCGCCTGGATAGCCAGGTCGAGCGCCGAACGCGACCCAGTCAGCCTGCGAAGCGAAGAGCCTAGCCAGTCAGCCCCTGGGCCCTGGACTTGACTGCTGCATTCTGCCTGAGCCTATGCTTCGGCCTAGTCGCCTCCCCCACGCCAGACAAGCCTATACCTTGCGCCCCAACGCCTCTCTACAACTACACCAGCCGACCATTTCGTCGCAGACGCAACTGCCCCAAGAACCTGCCTCGGCGGCCCCGCTGCACTGGCTATCAGGCGGATAGCGGGCGTCGATGGCCAGCATGCACAACTGGCCCGCGCCACACTCCACCACACATCCCACAACGCCGCCGCACGCCCACCCGCCCGCTGGAGACTGGCCGCACTCACCCAGCGCACTGGCTGCTGCTGTGACGCTAGCGACCCTCTCCGACAACAGACCGCCCGATGATGACGACGAGGACGACGGCGACGACGATGACGATGGTGGGGGGATATCGCTAGAGGACTACCAGCATTTCATGGAAGCCATGCCCGAGTCGCATCAGGCAGGAGCAAACAGCGACGATGGGGACCCCTCGCTGGATGAGGGAGGCACGATAGAAGACATGTTTGGCTTCGGGCCAGTCCATCCATCCTATGTCACATACAACGCTTTCGACATGTTTGCAGGCTCCAGCATACCTCAGCACCACACATCCACTACACACTTCATTGCGCCGGTCACCATAGCAGGCAACCTGCCATACGGTACTGACCTATTACTTGAGCCACCGCCAACACTCAACGAACCGCACCTGAGTATACAGGACCGGGCGGCCTTTTGTCCCATTACGTCCTACTTCCACCGCTTCTACGGGCAGTGGAAGCCTGGTGTTGTGCCTGGTCTGGATCTCATCCAGCTGCCGGATTTCATTACCCGAGATGATCTCAAAGGTGATGAGTATGATTACCAGGGAATAGATTGGACCGCCCGGAAGACTACTAGGGCTTCGGTACGGAGAGCAAGGTCGCAACATGAGCGTCAGCGGGTGCCTCATAGTGTGAAGCAGGTTCGCAAGGTATGCATAGTACGAAGAAGTGTTTTCTTGCTCCAGCTACTCCATACTCACGAGAGATCACTATGTTCTACAGAACCGAATGATGGAGAACACGAAAGATCCCTCCAGGGTGTGGTATAGTTGGCGGACAAACGAGCTTCTTTATGTCTTTTGAGCTTCACTGGCTAACTCATTACAGCACGTCCATTCAACACCCAACACAGACAGCTTCTTCCAGTTCCGAAGGATCAACACCAGCCCCCGTGCCTTTGTTCCTCACTTCCAGCTGCGGAATGTTCTGACGGCCACGTCTCGCAATGACATCTACTATGCAAAAGGTCACCAAGTACTCCACACAGACGCAGAAGGTACATCCGAAGACGCCGTCGTTGACCTCAGCAAACACCTGGCTCCCGATGCATCGATTACCACTATCGCTTCCCACGGCGACGTACTCATCGCCGGTGCTTTCGAAGGCGAGTACGCCATCACCAACCTCTCCTCAACCCACGGCTCGCCCTGCACGTTCGGCCGCACCACCGACTTTGCGACCGACACAAAGTCACGCATAGTTAATCATATGCACCTCTTCCCATCACGGCGCACCTACACCCCGCAAGCCGTGCTTTGTTCCAACGACCACCGGCTCCGCGTGCTCGACTGCGGCACCAACACCTTCGTCCACTCGTTCCTCTACCCCGCAGCCGTCAACTGCTCGGCTACCAGTCCAAATGGACGCATGCGCGTCGTGGTCGGCGACTTCCAAGAAACACTCATCACAAACGCCGAAACCGGCCAGCCCTTCGAAACGTTAAACTCGCACACCGACGACGCCTTCGCCTGTGCCTGGGCCGACGACGGCATCCACGTCGCGACTGCCGCGCAGGATTCCACCATTGTCGTCTGGGACGCGCGGTACTGGGAAAAGCCGCTCGCCGTCATGAAGAGTGAACTCAGTGTCCCGCGTTCCCTCCACTTCTCGCCCATCGGCTCCGGCCCGCGTGTTCTCGTTGCCGCCGAAGCAGACGACTTCATCAACATCATCAACGCGCAGACGTGGGAGTCGAAACAAACGTTCGATTTCTTTGGCCCCGCGGGTGGTGTTTCGTTCACACCTGATGGACAGTCTCTTTTCATTGCGAATGGCGAGAGGAGGTTCGGTGGTATCATCGAGCTTGAACGCACGGGCTGGGCAGATAAGACGGGGCGAAGGGGTAGTTTCGATGACGAGGTCCGCGATGAGATTGTCGTGGATTGGGTGGGTGATGAGGCGCTGGACAGCGATGGAAGGGTCCTAGCTGGGGATGTGGCTAGAAGGCGAAGGCATGTGGACTTGAGTGATGTTATCGTATAACATCGCTTTGTAGATGTGAACCAGCTATTTGGTATCTTGGGTGGGAAAGAATCTTTTGGCGTTTTTCTTTATGCAGAGATGGATGGATGAACTGGGAAGATACCACGGATTGGGCGGTCATGGATGGGTTTTTAATCTGACATCGTAATTATCACCAGCATCTTACACTCGTGTTGGCCAGCTGAGCGGTTCAACTTACTCATCAGAACCTGATGACGGGCCTTTGAGTTCGATGAATGCACAACTGCTTGCTTGATCAATGTGGTATCATATTCTTTTTTTGCTAGCTAAAATCCTCCAAGATACACATGCTTAGTTGCATCATCGGCCAGCCTTGCCACATTCCGTGCCTAGCAAATCCCCTTCTCTCGTAATCGCCGCAACGCCTGGAAATTCGATTTTGCTGAATGACCCACATAACGCCATCAAATGCATTGTTTGCGTTTCGTCCCTGCACGACAAGCTTAGACGAGCAGAACAGCGTTCAAGCAACCGTCATTTTCGGGGTTATCTAGAGTTAGAGGTACCAAGTCAGCTATGTCTCACATGCACTTCGTACAGTCAGAACTTACTGGTAATTTGTGCATACCGACCCCAAACGACCTTTCCTCCAGCGGTCACAAGACCGAGTTCAGATACGTTTACTTCGATGATCTAAGGTACGAAGTCAGTATATGTCTCACATGCACTTCGTACAGCCAGGACTTACTGTTCCCTTGGTTAGGACACCGAGCTGGGTGTACATGGGCTGAGGTGCGAAGTCAGTATATGTCTCACATGCACTTCGTACAGTTAGAACCTACCTGTTGGGGGTTCTTCTTTACTGAAATAATCGGTAATTGGACCGTGACGTTCAGCTCAGGATGCGTAACGTTGGCCTTCTTGTAACGGAGACCCATGGGTCGGATGAAGCGCTCGTATTTGACGGGGCGACGGGTGAATCCTGGTCCAACGAATGTAGGTTTGGTGATCTGCAGAGGTGGAGGTACGAAGTCAGCATTTGTCTCACATGCACTTCGTACACTAGGGACTGACCATTCGCTTCCAGCTCTTCTTCTTGGTCTTCTTTCCTGTCTTAACGACTGAGAACATCTCTTCCTCAGAAATACCCTTGACCTTCGGTAGGGGGACGGAGAACCGAGCGGCCTTCTCGTTACGTTTCTGCTTGATGGCTGAGGATAGGGCTTTGGCGTTCTTCTCGTTGCTACGGTCGAGGAGGTAGGCGGGGAGGGCGTCGGTGGCTGGCTCGGGCGCTTCGTTAGATTTGACGTTCCTCTCCTCGTGTGCGCGGATCTTCTGCTTCATCTGAATCTTCTCCTTGCGACGCTTCTCAGCGTACAGCTTGGCCCTCAGACCACGGAAGTTTTGCGCCTTCTTCGAGGCATTGTGCCCTTCACGGGCAATCTTCTTCCGTTGGCGCTCGTCATGATCGAAGCGCTTTCCGTGCCTGGTAAGAGTTAGTTTTGTGTTCCTGGTGTTGAGTTGAGGCGCAAAGCGCAAATCGCGGCGCAGGATTGGTGCTGAAGGGGGATGTCGCAGGTGCGAGACGCGGGATCGGTGTGACGTACTGCTTCGTAAAGCGCTCGATGTATTCGTTCTGAGGCATGGCGACTACCTCTGTGTGTGTATGTTGTAAGGGTGGTGGTAGTGGAGTGGAGTCTCTTCCACCAGCCGCCTTGCCTCCAAAAAGTTCGGCACTAGCCCCCACTAGCGCGATGCGGGATTCTTCAACATCGGACTCCCGCAACACCAAAGATACTGAATCCAGCAGCCACCCCAGCCATTGCATCCCACAAACCCCAGTAATGGCTCTATTCGCTCGCTCCGCACGCCATGCGCTCTTCGAATCGAGAGCGCTTATCCAACCGACGATCCGCCGCGCAGGCATAACAACCGTATCACATAACCTCGACACATCGAATACGCCCGAACCGCTCATCCAATCCGGCCACCGCATATCAGACGAAGCCAAAGAGCGCGCTCAAACACCACAGCCTCTCCCCAAAGACGCCCCAGCCCCCGCTTCCACAAACGACATCAAAGCCTCACCAAACGCCCGCTCAGACATCCTCTCGCAAACCCTCACACCCTCCATCCGCAAGCTCCTTCCTCTCCTACAATCGCAGCCCGCACATTACATAACCGCACATCTACATGGCCGCCCGTATCTTCTCACTCGCGGAGACACGCTTCGCCTCCCCTTCCAAATGCCACATGTACGACCAGGCGATGTTCTGCGTCTGAACCGCGCTACACACATTGGATCGCGCGACTACACCTTAAAAGCCCCGGAGCCTGTCAAGGGAAACGCAGATCGTGGGAAGAAGGTGTATTATCTGGACGAGCGGTTATTCACATGCAGAGCGCGGGTTGTGGGTGTGGAGACTGAGCCGTTGAGGGTGGAGGAGAAGACCAAGAGGAGGCGGAGACATGTCAAGCATGTTATGAGCAAACAGTACTTCACAGTCTTGAAGATCAGTGATTTGGAAGTCAAGAGTCTGGAGGAGTATGAGGCTGTGTTGGGGCAAGAGGGTAAAGAGAGTGTACAATAGTGGTGGCGTCGAGAGGCGGGATGCGTCTTTGAATGTATCATATGTACCGATAACACGAGCATGTCAGCCTCGGGGCTGTTATGTGAATGCGATATCTCAGGAATGGGAGTACGATATCATGCTCGTATTCATGTCTAAGTGTACATTGGGTATATGCGATCCCGGACGCCGTTTATGCTTTGCCTACTCATCATCACTGCTGGTAATATCGACCCGAGACTAGTGCACCACCTGCGCTGCATAGAAGTCGGGATATTGGTTCTGGATCATCGACGTGACCTTCTCCACCTCCTCTGCCAGGCCTGTGACGTTGGCATCCCACTTCCGTAGCTCTTTGCCGACAACGCGCTCTGCGTGCCCTGTCTTACGCTCACCACTGGCCTCGCCCTCGAAGAAAACGTATCGATCGATCTGGTCGATGTAACCGGCAAGTCTGCCTTGCTCCAACATCTTTGCCGCGTAGTCCTCGGCCTTCTCAGCGTCGATGCCCAGTAGTTCACCCAGCTGATCAAATCCGATGTTGTTGTAGAGCTTCGATGCGCCGAGCAAGTTGTGTTCCAGGATAGCCTTGTCGAGCACAGTCAAGCCATCAGCGGCCCGGGCGAGATGGTGAGGCTCCAGCTTGGCGGAGAAGGCGTTGATCTCGGCAGGTGTGAGGAGACGGTTCAGGAAGATCTTCTCGAGGATGGCGTAGTCGTCGGCGGAACTGGCTCGGTCGTCCTTGTACAGCTTGGCCAACATCTTACCTCGTTGCGGACCAGCAGGAGCGAGCACTGCACAGATGATTGCTTTCCCAAGAAAGTTGTCGCGCTCTTCAGCGTCCACAACTGGCTCGTTACTCAAAGTGTAGTATCCCTGGGCAGCATCAAGGAAGGACCGTTGCGAGTCGAGAATGCGGGCTTGACTCAATTGGAACATGACCTTGGTAGCCTTGTCTTGTACGTTGAAGATGATGTTCTTGATCTTGTTCAGATGTGTGAAGGCGCTTGTTGGATCGTCTTCCTCCAGGTAACACCGCACTATCCGGATCCAGACCTGCGCCTTGTCATCCGCGGAGACAGACTTTTGTGTTGACTCAAGGTTTATGGTCGCGAGCGTCTGCGCTGACCGTCTGAAGTCATCGTTCTGTTCGAATGCATCCGCCAGAGCATGCTTGATCTGAGTGTCCTGCTCCTCATACTGGCCCGCGCCCTTGGACTGTAATAGTGTGATGACCTTCTCTCCAACTTCAATCCTGGCGTCTGCGTCCTTGACAGTCCGGAACGCATCTACGAAAGCAGCGAGGAGCGGTCGTAGGACGACTATGCCGAGCGAGTCATCGAGGAGAGTTTGTGCGTATGCGTTCAGATCGGCGGCGATATTGGTGGATGATTCTATGATCTGCTGGAGGAGAGCAGTGTACTGAGAGGGCTTTTCGCTGGCCGGTGCCGCCTCAATCTGCTGTAAAGCCGAGGTGACAGCTTGTGAAGCCATTGCGGGGGGTTTGGATGAGCTGGGTTGGTTGAGAAGACGTTTAGGGCTCGACCTGAGTAGGTATGCGAGAATGAATGGCGAGGACAAGAGGATCACTCGATAGCTGCAATCGAGATTCGGTCGTGCCTGTTGGTTGTTGATAGGCAGCAGACGTGGGGCAAGCGCGACCTCTCCAGAGCTGCATTATCGATAAGGACTTGGCACGCTAGTGCGGAAGCGCGTCGGGGAAGAGCGCGCCCCAGTCAGTCGATCTTTCATCATCACTACCAACTCACCCCAGGCAACAACACACACACACACACACTCACACTCGCTACCATGAACGGCATCAAGACAGAAGCTGGAATCAAGGCGGAAGGCGACATAGGCTTCATGGACGATGACTTCTACGAGGACACCGGCGAGATGAGCATCAACAAGGACAATCCTCAACAGGATGTCTGGCTCACGCGTATTCCAGACTGGCTCTACGAGGCAGTGTCTAAGTGGGAAAACGTCGCCGACGGCAACGACAACGATCAGATACAGATCGGCGAAGTCCTCGCATTCGCGACGACGAGCGGCATCGACAAGGACAAGCCTATGCGCGTCTTCCTCGACGATCGTTGGCGCGCAAAGTCCAACTTACCCTCCGCCTTCCAGCTCGATCCTGCAGCCGCTTCCGAAGCGCAACTGGGCAACACATACATCTTTACAGAGAAGGATCTGCCAGGGTTCAAGGGACAAGGCTTCGGCTATGGGAGAGGCCACGGAGGCTATGGTGGTGGTGTGCAAGATCCGAATGCGCGCGTGCAAAAACGGAGCAAGTACAAGAAGGCGATCCCCAAACAGACTGCCCTCGTCGGCCACGCGACACGGCAGTACAACGCGAATCCTCTCGAAACCAAAGAGTTCAAGGACTTCAGCGCCGCGCGCATCAAGCAGGCCATTCAAGGCTCCTACACCACCACCATCATCACGAAAGACACCGAAGTCTCTGACGTCAACAACTCCATCACCCTCAACAACCGCTTCAAGAACTTCATCAAGCCCACGACGAAGGCCAAGTCACAGCAGAACAAGGCGGCTCGTATGGCTCGTTCCGACCTCATCGACGTACTGCACCAGCTGTTCGACGAATACCAGTACTGGCCGATGAAGGCTATCAAACAGCGCACAAAACAACCAGAACAGTATCTCAAGGAGGTGCTTGGTGACATTGCGCTGCTTGTCAAGTCTGGGCCCTTTGCGAGCAACTGGAAGCGGCAGGCCGTCTTCGACAACCAACGCGATACTAGTAAGCAAGCAGAGGCAGCTGCTCCAGAGGGTCCGGGCGATGGCGACTCAGAGGGCGAGGACGAGATGGAGGATGTAGTGTAGAAGACTGTGGTGGGATGGGGTGGTTGATCAAATTGTTGCGTTGGCGATACCCAGTCCGTGAAGGAACATACACGGCGCCGTAGAAAGGAGCTTCATCATTTCAGGTTTATTATACTGCATGCTCCCTCGAGAATGAACAGTATTAATGTGTTGCAGCATGTCAACGTACAACAGCGTATGCGATTAGAGTGTGAGGTTCTATCAACTGATCGTCGTGGCAATGACGGCATCTTAGCGACTAACGTCCATGACTCGAGCGGACCTGGCCGACCCGCTCATCTCACAATCTAACGGTCATTCCGACTCCGCCTTCTAACTCTATCGCTTTTCAATCTGTACATATGTTATCCTCTTGATACACTCTCTTCATTGTTGACATATGCTCGGGCTTCCAATTGCTCGCACCAAGAAGTGACGAAAGAATTTGCATGACCTTCATCTTCCTGGAATTGCACGCCAAAAAAAAGTGTCATGACACCACAAAAGCAAGAGCAGAGCCACTGGTTGGACAAATACGCATCAAACTATGCCGAGTGGAAGCTGTCAGAAAATGCAGATGGCACTCAGCTGTTCAAGCGTCCTCTCGGGCTAGTGGAGACTTCTTTTGACTCCGATGGCGCGTATTACGGTGGCCGGGCAGGTATGTAGGATCTTCAGAATATCTTATACTCATTTCTTGATGGTCCAAAGAGAAGTCTACTCGTCATATTGAGCATGGTTGAAACGCGACTGACTGTGCAACAGATATGACTGCCCTTTTCACATTAGCACTCCAACACAAGCTCTCGAAACCAGAGCTGAGGCGCAAGATGGCGCTTGCCTGGACTTCTCTTCGCCTTCAGCACCCTTTACTCCTGTCTCGAGTGATCGATGATCAAGAAACAGGAAGAAGAGCCTTTGCCGTCGATGTACCCAGTTCTCAAGATTCTACCATTCAAGATGTCGAGAAGAGCATTGTTTGGATCGAAGAAGCGTACGAGGAAGTCAACGAGCAAGAGCTGTACCACCACGCCTACAACGTAACTCGCATCATTGAACCCACGAAGTGTCTATCGAAGTTACATGTCCTACCTTTGCGACAACTCCCAGACGGGACATATGAGCTACACTTCCTCATTGTGATCGCGCACCAGATATCCGATGGTCTATCCGCGTACAGCTGGTTCAGCCATTTCGTTCGCATTTTCAACCGACCATCCCAGGACATCTTAGCAGAGATTGAATCGGTTCGTCGCCCTCAGAAGATCAAAACCGTTTTGCCAGCTGCCCAGGAAGACCTATACCCACCGATTGCAGGCAACAAAGCGAGACAGCGCTGGTTCTGGGCGCTCATCAGAGTGTTGCGGCACGTGAAGAAAGGAGGACTCCCACCCACCTTCACAAATCCATTGCGAAGAGAGAAGAGGCTAGAGGAGCCAGTACCACTCGAACCCAAGTTCAACAAGATCTTCGACTACAGCCCTTCAACCCGCCCTCCAATGTCCTGCGGCCATGTTTCCGCATCGCTCTCCCCTGCTGCCTCAGCACGTCTGATATCGCTATGCCGCTCCGCAAACGTCAGTATAGGAGCCGGGTGCTTCGCCCTCGCCGGCCTAGCAATGATGGCCATCCATGAAAAGCAATCTCCATCAACCAACCACCCACCATTCACAGCCTCCTTCCCGCTAAACCCCCGCGCCTTCTTCGTGAACCCATCACCGCCTGACTCATGCATGCTCGCCTTTAGCGAGGGCATAGTAATGCCCTTCTTATCATCCGACCTACCTGTAGAAGGACGCTTCAAGCTCGTAGCGAAGCACGCGAACCGCGAGTTGCGTGTCTACCAGAAACGTCTAAAAGGAAAGGGAAAGACAGGTACAGCTGGTATCCTAGACAAAGGTTCACCAGGCCGTCTCCTCGCAACAGGCTACGTCGCGCAAATCGAACGCGTCGAAGCAAAACTCCCACCGTCGCGTCGCTCACCTTCCTTCCAAAATCCACAGGGCTCTCTAGCACCCAGCACAGCAGGCTTCGGAGCGACATGCGGCGTTTCTTCCATCGGTCCTCTAGCCACGTTTTTCAAGCGCGGGACGTACGATGTGAAGGATCTGGGAGAGGAGGACTTTGCGGCTGATTTCCGGGATGTGAAGATTGGGGTTAGAGCGAGGGAGAACGAGTTTCTGGTTGGCAGCTCGACTAGTGCGGAGGGTATTGTGGGGTTCGGCGTTAGCTATGATCTCAACGCTATTAGTGCTGAGGCGGCTGAGGTGTGGAGGGAGACTATCGAGGGGCTGTTGGAGGGGAGGGAGGTGGCGAAGTTGTAGATAATCGATGAGTTGGCTACTAGTGGTAAGAGCAACGGAGGGGTCACAACTACTAAGAAAGTGTGCTCTAAGATGAGAGAAGAGCATGTTTTAGATAGCACCGACTCATTACTTGTTGCTGGAGCTGGAGATAGAACTGCGTAAATCCTTCCACTATGCAAAGCTCTTCTGGGGATTCTATGACTGAAACCCATACCACGCCCACATGTCCGCATACATTGAAGTCTCTATGCTGCGAATCAAGACCTCATCGTCCCATTCTATCCGCCAATCCCTTTGACTCCAGTCTTTCACCTTCAAAGACATAAGATCCGCATCCCACAAGTCGCCTACAGATCCTGTGAATCGTATGTTTGACGTTCCATTCACCATCTTGCGGACAGTTTCCGGCAAGCCTGCCGGTAGGTGCCATGGTAACGGAAAGGTATCGTATCTTCCATTTTCCTGGAGCCATGAGGTAGGCTGCACTCCGTTTTGTCGGGCTTGTTCGAGCATGGCTTCCTGCAAGGCTGCGGCATACTTGATGGTGTCGAATGCTTGAGCGGCCTCGTTCGTGCTACCATCTATGATGAGTTGGTACGCACCGGCAGGCATGCCGTAGGTGGGAAGCGACATAGTCTCCTCGATCCATGGAATGATCGCTGTCAAGCATTGGCCGCCTGTTATGTACGGCCGCCTACGGGGCTTTTCCGTCATTCTTGGAAGCAGACTATCAAAAAGTCCGATATGTTGTGATATGCGTAAGGTGGGGGAGCTACGACAGAATGGTATCAACCCTCGTGAATGACATGCAGCACGATTTAGAGATACGCGATCTTCCTTCAAGACGATCTTGCGTAGATTCAGCCACTGCTTTGGCGGGAGGCTTTGTACTGGAGATAAGGTCAGCAAACAAGGAACACAACGTGAGATACGGGTATTGCGTGTATGTCGATCCATCTACGATGACGGGAACGAGACATGAGAAAGCTTCACTTACAGTAGTCGATTGCTACAGCTGCAGCAGAGAAGTAGTATTTAGTGTTCTCCTTGCAATAGTAGTCCACATCACAGTCCATGTGATAAGGTGGTTGATGATCCCTGGTCAAGTAGAGCATCGCTTCCATCTGAAGTAAATCTTTGTCGTGGGGTACCCACCATGGGTCAGGCGTCCAGGAAAGTATCTCACTGTGACATCCTTGGATGAACAGGTTGCAGCGTTCCAGATTGCGCTCGATAGGACATATTCCGGGACCGAAGACTTTGTCCGTGAGCCGCGCGGACTTGTCGGGATCGCGTCTATCTGCAAGAACCAATGCAAATCGCAAGGCGTTGACAAATGTTTCACTGACTGTATCGTTCTCCAAGATGACAGGCATCTCGAGTCTCAATTTGTCGGATTGCCGAGCGACCGCTTCTTGTAGGATGTTGCCAAAAAATGTGCCCATGTATGGATGACGCGCGTCAATATCGTCGAAGTCTGAAGGGTGTAGTAACTCGGCGACACAGACGAGCATTCGTTGCCTCTGAGTTTGAACCAGCCTGGTCACTGGAGCGCGGCGTCATTAGTGAGATTCTGGGCTGATGATAGCACGGTACCGTACTTACAGTAGTGGAAGCGAGCGGCCTTGGAATGCAACTCTTCGAATTTTGATCCATCATACGCAGAGCGCCGTGTGCTAAACTCGGCTTTTTGAAAAGCGATTTGTCCCATCTCTCTTGCCGCAATCTTACAAGTCGCTAGCAAGCCAAGGTTTTCCGTACGCGCAGATGCATCCCGATAGCGCAACTTATGCGTGTCTTTATTGTACTCGTATGATCGCCTACCGCTTGCATAGTATTCGTAGATTTCATCGCGAAGTTCTCGAGGTAGGCGGTATAACGGGGATTGTAACTGCGTCGAGTAGGTGTTCGCCGACTGGGCTGTAGCCATCGATGGAGTTTTACTCCGGTGGGTAGAGTTGCTTGTCGACATATCTGAAGATGCAGATAGTATACAAGGCATGAGTGATGGTTGCAGTGATAGGGTTTAAGAAATCTTATATAGTTGGAGATGACTCTTTCTCTTTTGGAATTCCGTGGATGGTTACACTCGACATACTCACTAGCGGTTCGCGCTGGCTGGGAGAACCAGGAACGCAGTAGTGGTGACTCGCCTGCAGGACTGCGTCCGGCCATTAAATGACCAACAAGACTCACCGGGTAGATTGCAAGTTGAACCAACATAATCTGTTGAGAAGACACAGAGGCGCAAGAAGGGTGAGTCAGTAGCAGGCGTGGTAACTGCGAGCCGGTCTTCTGTAGACCTTGGAAGCTATGAAACTTTGACTCATACTTCTCGAACCACGTGCATTATAGTAGCTCGGGAAAGATACGCATTTGCGGCCAGTGAGGCATGTTCTCTGGCTTCGTAGGTAATTGTACGAGGCATGGGCGACATCCGCGCAGGAATGCTAACTTTGGTTAGCGCGTGCCGGGATTGATGACGCAATGCGTAGCTAACAGGGGCTGTCGCGAATGTCATTCGCGCCGCGATATCGTGCAGGTTCATCCTCATATCTATCGCATATTTAGAAGTCTGTTTGATTCTCATTCGATTCAACAAGCCATATATCAAGCTATGTGTCTCTTGACTGCATCGTTACTCGGCCCTACCTAGTTACTCAGGCATTAAGAGTACCTACATAGGTAGGTAGCACAAATACTCGATGTCTAACTTCCCTAGGCAGTTTCCCCTACCTCCCGAGGTCCTCTTCTCTGTCTTTCGCGCTCGAGCCTGAGGGTCTCTTCGCCAGAAGACCTCTCAGTGGTTTCTAAGGAAACGCCTCGATCTTAGAAATAACAACGCCTGGCAAACGCATATTTATCCGTCGGATCAGATTCTCGTTCCACCGGCCATGGCTGTCCCGTATCTCAATCATTTCTAAGCCCCTTAAAGAGGCCACATCGTCCTCTAGTCCCATGACTATACTCCCCACAGCTGTCCTAAGTTGCATCCTCTTAATAGCCTGTAGTTGCTTCTGGCCGGTATGATGAAGTAGCTTCCATGCATTGGATCTAAAACCCGTCATAGCAAAGACGTTGAGAGTGTAGGGCAGCATAGCGGTCTCTGTGTTTATCTGCGAGCAGCTTCCAAGGAGGGCGAGAAGATGTCGCTTGGGGCCGGCTCGGTCCCTCATCGCTGTTCTTATCATCTCTATCGGATGATTCATACGTAACACATACTCGTAGATGATGTTACGAAGCTCAGGTGGAAGACGGAGGAGAGGGGAGTTTGCCTGGTTCTCTTGGGTTCTGTCAGACTGTAAGTAAGTTGTAGCGGATATGCGAACTCTTGAACTCACCGACGTATGCGCTCAGCATGCGAAGTACTCAGGCGGTTTATGTCCTGAAGTTCTCCTGAATCCTCCATGAAAACTCCGTTGGTTTGATTTGGTTGATTGAGTCTATTGGATGTATTGATTGCCGATCAGGGTATGGTAAAGTGTTCTCGATAAAGGTAGAAGGCAGAAGACTGGCAGATTAACAGGTAAATGAAGGAGCTGGACTAGGTGTGCACGGGCTTATGAAATTTACAAGCAATATACGATCGCATGAAATGACCTGACACCATAGTCTATTGAAATGTGCGAGGCAAGCGCACCTCACCGAACGCAACTAAAGGGATTGAGCTGTCTCCCTAACCAGTGCTATGACCACGGCAGAGGTTCCAATGTGTATGGCGACACAAATATAACCTCGATATCACCTGCCTGGCCTTTTGCAACTGCAGCTTCCGCTTCTTTCACACGAGTAAACTCCTTCTTGGTGCTCCATAGACCCCTAAGCTCTCCCATATACAGTTTCTCCAACCCCTTGCATCTACCCAGGCTCCTAAGCACCATCTTCAGAGCCTCGCTTCCACTCTGAAACGCGCCCCAACTTATATCAACCATAATCATCGTCATGGCTTCGAGCTGAGCATGTTTGCGTGAAGCGACAAAGCGATCGAGTTCAAAGACGTTGTTAAAGGAAAACAAGTTCTCGGAGTATACTAGAATAGCTGTTTCGGAGTAAATTTGACGACAGACGCGCGGTAGGGCGATGTTGGCAGGTGTTGACCGGAAGACGTCGTTATCGCTGTTGAGGAGGCGCCATTCGCGGGTGCTTCCGTGCCTAAACATGGGTGTACGAAGTCAGTGAATGTCTCACATCAATTCGTATAGCGATATCTCTTACCACCGGTGTATGAACCGGCCGCCTCCCAAAGCATACCTGAAGATATTGTTTCGAAGTTCAGCGGGAAGGCAGAGAAGGGGAGACTGTTGCGTGTTGGACTTGACGCTTTGGATGCTATTAGCTGTATGCAAGTCTTCTGCTTCTGAAGGGCTCACATGGGAACGAGGTCTTTTGGTGTTTTCCGCAAGGAGACAAGACCGCCGCGAGTACGATAGACGCGCTTGGAAGACTCCGTGATCGGTTTGGAAGGGCGCTTGCGCATGTTATAGCGCGCTTCAGGGATGGATTGAGCGGCCTCCGCTAGGAGCGTAGACTTGTCCATCGTGGTGGCAGTTTCAAGTAGAGACACAGAATGGATAAATCGAGGTCAAGTCAAAAGGGGCCGAGCTGAAGTACCAAGGGGGGCTTCCTAGGTACGTCAGCCGATGTCTCTAGTAGAGTGAACCATTCATCGTGCAGTAAGGCAGCCATAGCTGCAGAAGCATGTGTCAGTGCATCGGAGTGAATAGTCGCCGCACTTGCCACTGTTTGTGCTCGCTCAGGCCCTTGGTCGCTCCAACTCATATTCAAAGATTGAATTGTCTCCTACCACACTTTCTCCACTACCTGAAACAATTCCCTGAACATACACCGAGCCGTTCGGCCAGAAACCCAACTAAAGTACCTCCAATCAAACGATAAGTACCACAGGCGCAAGACTGCCCATGGTTTCTCAAACCACCCACAAGAAGCGTGATCAAGCAAGCGCCTCAAGTAATAAGATGCCAGTCGAAGAGCCAAAAGAGTATGGTTTATTGGATCTTTCACAAACGCCAGACCATCTTGTGACGATGTAAGTAAAGACTTTGACGATCCTCATGTCTCTCTAACAGTATCCAGTGCCCAAGACAACAGTGTGAACTCTCCACTCCTGCGACTACCAGCCGAACTCCGCACAAAGATATGGCACTACGCACTTGGCGGTATAACCGTGTATCCCAACCTCAAACGATTGAGATATCGCAAATACGGCTCTACATCGACAGGTCTCTTCAAAAGCAATCTAGGGCAGCTTAGCCTCCCTCGCACCTGCAGACAAATCTACTCCGAGGCCGCTCTGATCTTCTACAACGAGAATACTTTTGCTTTCCACGATTACAAAGCCTTCAAGCGTTTTCGAGATCGAATCCGAAATGCCCACTTCGCGATGATACGATCCATTTCCGTGAGGACCATTGGCGCTCTTCTGACGTTTCAAAAAGAACTCATGGAGGCTGACAGGTCTCAAGCCTCCTATCAATATTCCCACAATCTTAAGGAAGAGTTTCTCAACTACTACGATCCTATGGAAGAGGATCTGCGATGGATCGTACGACTGGTAATTCCTGGTCTATTGTCAACATTTCCCAATTTACATAGAATCGTGATTGCGTGTTCTTGTCATGCGATTGGGATTCAGGGGAAATGCAGTTTTGATACTCGAGTTTCGTGGGCACCGTTTCATAGTGAGGGAGTCGAAGTTGCGTTCCGTGAGTAGGGGCGACTCGGGACAGACTGTGGGGGCAGGACTCGATGGCTTCATGCGGAAACATTAAAGAGATCACTGTACACGCTTGGGTGATGAAGAAAATCGAGAGCGAAACGATTGGGGGGGATGTGGCGGCTCAAGACTGACTCAAAGAACTCTCCTTCCAATACACACACTCTTCTCTTGGCAGCTCATGTTTACCCCATTCGTGTACGTAACGCATTACGCCTAAATTTTGCTGGCTCTTCACTTTGTCCAGGGCAGACCCAGCTTCTTCATCTCCACCGCCAACTGCAGGATATAATCGATACTCTCGCACTGCGTCTTCGCCTTGTGTACGTTGTCACCCCACACGTAAATGCCGTGTCTCTTGACAAGAATCGCGTACGAATCGGGGTATTTCTCCATCGCCTCCTCCAAACTCTCCCTCAAATCCTCTTCGTGCGCAGTATTCTCGATGATGGGTATACGCAGCCGGTCATAATAGCCTAGGTTACCCTGCTTCCCTCTTCCCTTCGGTATGCCCTTAATCTGTTCAATCTCTTCGATCTCAAAGCACGCGTCTTTTCCGAAATCGCGCTCGACGAGGAGGGTTACGAGGACGGCCCATTGCGAGTGTGTGTGAATGCAGCAGCCGGCGCCGCGTTCGAAGGCTGCGAGGAAGAGAGGCGTGCACGCTGAGGGTTTAAGGACCTAAATGCTTCTTAGCCATCTTCCCATGGTCTAACATCGCGCGATATACCTGTGGTCTCCTCAAGTACTCCTTGCTGTTGAAGTCCATAACAAACATATCGGTGGGCTTCATGAGCTCTTTCTGTACGCCGCTGGGCGCAATGTATATCTTGTCTTCATGGCGTATGCTCGTTCCTCCGCCAGTGCCTGTCACCTGGCGGAATCTCCGTGTTAGCCATCACTCGATCGTGTCTTCATTCGCGTCCCCCCGACGCCTGGAGATCATCGTACCCAGCCCAAGCTGTAAAACTTTGCGCAGAGCGTGCAGATGTGGTTCGCGGGGTGACTTGGGTCATCGGAGTGCACGAGGGCCTCGGCATCATGTTCGCTGGAACTCATTGTGATGTTGCGCAAAGGTGTTGTTGGGGTGTGAAGTTTGGTGGATTTTCTGGAGCCCAATGACGCGACTTGCGATCGCGACTACCCCACGTGGTCCGCGCTAGTGTTCATCCCACCATCATAGTCAGGCACGATGCAGACATCAATCCAGGTAGGTCATACAAAACTTAAAGACATGGTTGAGGGAGTGTCTGTGTCTATTAATTACCAAAGAGAAAACAAGGCTGTCTCATAGTCGAGATTATAGCCTGAGGTATCATCGATGTCCAACGCTCATACCACTACCAGTCCTCCAGGAAAGTCGCTTGACTTGGGTATCATATCTAGTTCGTAGTCGTGTTCTGTGCCAAAGGAGATGGCTCATGTTCCTTCTTCTTGTCCAAATGAAGTACTTCCTTGACCTTGTCGCCCAATCCCTTGCGGTCGGGTGACTGGCTGTGACCGCCATGCTTTTCTTTATAGACGTTTCCGGCTCCACCTCGCTACAATTATGTCAGTTGAGGCTGCTATTACTCATATAACATGACGTACGCCGGTGTGAAACTCGTCTTGCGGGTTGCGCTGGTTGATCTCGGGAACCATGTCTACTGAGCGACGACCTTCGTCAGACTGCGGCCCAACACGAGGTGACTTTCCGATGTTGCCAGCTCCCCCACGGCCAGTGGAGAAATCTCCATCGAGAGAGTCGCCTTGAACGCCCTCGCGAACCATGCCTCCATCAGTGTAGACGTTGGTGTCGGGGCCAATGTTGCCGGCGCCTGCGTCAGCGATCAGCTTTTCCTGTTTTTGCATCTTGAAGTATCATGCAGGGCATACCTCCGCGGCCAGTTGAGTGAATTGGGGTAGTAGTCATTCTGATGGTTCAGCTTTTGCAATGATTGTGAAAACAAATGTTGTCTTGTTGAGATGACAAAGAATTGCTGTCAAGGATGTAGGATATGCTAGGGTGGTCGAACGGCAGGGCGAAGCGCGTTTTCAGGCTCTTATATTTGCTCCTCCAGTCCTACAAACAGGCCATCTCAGAGTGACGCAATGACGCAATCGCATCTCCAGGTGCTCTAATCGATTGGCGACGCGGGATGGAAGTAGTTTCCGAGTTGGAAACAGGCGCCAGCAGGCTCATGGCTGCTAGTCGTCCAACTAAGACGACGAGCCAAGGAAAGATGCGAGCATGAGGTACAAATTTCGATGGTTTTGACTCTTCTCATCGTCCCGTGGGTGTGGTTTATGCGATGGCGTGAGGTGATCTTCAATGTTCGCGCGATAAGGCCGGGTGGATTGATTCGCCCAGCGACTGACTAAGCGGGCTGTATCCCACTGCTCGACCTGGTGATTGCGTTCTCACATGTCATCGCCGACATGACACGGCTTGCTCGGAGGTCGGTGGAAGCTCTGGCGAGAGATGCGCTGCACGAGGGTTGCTGGGATCTGTAGTCTTGGAGCTCTTGCCACCCCTAACGCAGGGGCAGGCGACGTGCGGTTCATCAGACTACCTAGGTACGTCGGTACACAAATCTAGCATAGACCAGACAGAAATCACCTTTGGTTTGTTACCCAGCACGTAAAGTTGTGATATCCGCAAGACAGTTTCACACAATCGAATGCTGGTTTTGATTTGGGCATGCCTTTTGGGAGAATATTGAATTACGATTATGCGGTACGAAGCGCTCTAACAATGTTGTTTATACAAAAATTGAGAATCAACAAAGGGGTATCATCATATCGAACATCTGATACTTCAAGATCTAAGGCCTTGCTCATCACTCGGCCTGGTTTGACCTTCCTCCGCATTTCTAGCTTGCACTTTGTCTTGGTCTGCATGCTTGGCCGGATCAAAGACATAGATTGGGAACTCGAGGAAAATTGTTCTCTTTAGAATGACGGGCAGCTTGGCGTATAGCTGGGGCGGGAACGGGATGAGAATGCTCGTTCGGTGGAGGTATTGCTCGTACTCGGGCCAGCGGTTGCCTTTCTCGTATCTCTTCTTTGCGCCAGGTCGTTCCTGCAGCGTAAGACCGGATACGAACATGAGCAGTAGAGTCAGGAAGAATGGACCGAGAATAGACGCGTACAGAGCGTCATATGCACCGCCCGAGACGTAGTTGTTTGCAGCCGGAGATACAGCGATCGTGAAGATACCTGTCATGATCAGTTTCGGTCCAAAGAAACTCAATGAGCAGCACCTACCAAATTGGATGAGCATCTCGCCGAAGTAATTCGGGTGGCGCGTCCAGGCAAAGAACCCGACGTTGCAGACTGCGCCGTCGCTACCGTGAGCAGTACGGAACCTGTACTTCTGAACGTCGGAAACACTTTCCATGATGAAACCGATTGACCACAGGATGATGCCAGCGATATCACAACCTGTTCCAAAGTCTGGCTGATTGAATCGAGTGACTTTTGGCGAGTTCAGAATAGTGACCGGCATAGATACAGTCCAGACCCAGAACATTTGACTGTAACCCATCAGTAATGACACCCAGCTTACGTCTGTAGCTACTCACAACACCCAGAATCCGAGGAACGACCAGAACTTGTCCCTCTTATCGTCGAAACGATCATCTTTGCCAGTCTTGAGAATCCTGAAAAGAAGAAAGCCGCTCAACCTTGCCGCCCACAGCATGATAAACAGCGATACCACAATGTTGCGCGCATCGCCGCGGTTCTCGCTGCACGAAAGCGTGATAATCGCAAGAAGGATGAAGTTGGTGCCGCCGGCAAAATCAGTAAGTTTGTCGAATTTGAACGAGAAGGCGATCGCAAAGCCGATCAGCTGGTATGCAACAGTGACGAGGAAGGTGATGGCAAGATAATAGTCATCGAGGACGTGTATGGCGGCCATGATGACCTCTGGACGATCTGTTGTTGTGTGCGCGAACCTTGACAGCAGAGTTGCGCCTACATATACAGAAGCCTAGAGCTTACAGCTACGTCGCTACGTACGGAAGCCGAACGTTCCACGCTGCGCTGGCAAAATTTGGCCGACTCCGACGAGCGAGAATCGTATTCTTTGCGATGGAAGTTGGCCCCAGGGGCTGGCAAGCGTCAGGCCCAGGGTAATGACGCACGTCATCGGTCGCCAAGCCACGATTACTAGGCACGACTTTCTCCCGCGATCACCAGCCCTACGCACATGCTTCACAGCACAACGCGACTTCGCAGCTTCGCGATTGATAAGCCTTTTCGACCGCACGGCACTTGGGCGGAAATAGATCGGTAATGGAAGATCGATTTCGTTCATGCACGAGCGGAAGGAAGAAAACGCCATGTTCCACAGAGTGAAACGCCTCCGGTGTGAACCCCATCGCCTCGCGCACATCGCGTGTCAGACTACACCACCATAGCGGCTGGCCAGACGATCGTGAAGCTTGACTACCACCAAAATCGCTTTTCGCGGGCCTGTCGATCATGGGTCGCGCGTTACTGGCCTGGAACAAACCCTGATGACTAGGCTGACCCGACAATGCCATCACCGGCTGCACTACTGCGCGCTGGGACTCCATTTGAGGAACACCGTTCCGACCCTTGAGACGCACCTGAACACTGTTCGAGTAGCCGCGAAGGCTCGAAACCAGCACCACACGGTTAGAAACATGCTGAGCGGGGCTGACATGTCGGACCCGTTAAGTAGGATAGTTTTCGCCTCAGTCATGAACCTTTGAACGGTTTGGCACGCTCTCGCACTATCGGAAGCTTACATTCGTTTGCATCCGGACTATCTGTTTCCATTGTGTGTCCACACGTTTCCGTTCCATCTTCAACTCTTCGGTCTTTCTGCTGTGCAGGTACTGAGAGGTTCTGCATGTCTGTGACATCGCCTTCGATTCTACTCCAGCTGGACTGTTGATGTACTAATTACTAATTTTCTTTTCTATCGTTTCCGGTTCTCACTTCCTCAAGGATTCCACAATGACTAGAACTCTATCATCCTGGGTACCTGCCCTGCTGCTCATAAGTGCAGTACGTATGTCATTTGCTTGTATGGAATCTTCACTGACTGCGTATAGACGGTCACTCAGGCAGTACTTGATCTTCACAATACTCACATACGAACCGAAGTCTCGGGCAGACGTATCGATAACTTGGTATCGGGACTCGACTGGCAACGACGGGATACAGAAGCACTCAACGTACCTGCTGCCGAGCAAGCCAGTGCACTGGACAATGGAAACATCGCCGCCAGGCTTGCACAGAACGGCCTGGACGCAAACGCCTTGTTGAATGGGCTCGCGCAAGGCCAAGGACAAGGCCAAAGGAGTGGCAACGGAGACATTAACACGAATGATGTCGGTGGAGACCTCGCAAACCAGATCGCCGGTGGGGGCTCTACGAGCGTTGACGACATCCTTATTGGGCTTAACGGGCAAAAGCAGAGTACATCAGCAAACCAGACTAGCAACCCGCAGCCGCAGGGCCAGAGTGGTGCGCAAGGAACGACACAGGGTGCCAACCAAGGAGCAGCAGGTGATATCAAGTCGAGCGACATTGCTGGAGATCTTGCAAACCAGCTGGCCCCCAGACCCGGTTCTAGTCAGAGTGGCAGCGCCGATATTGCTGGAGATCTAGCGAATCAACTCGCACCGAACGGACAAGGCCAACTACCATCCCAGTCTGGAGCACCACAAAATGGTAGTAACTTTCAAACTATTCAGATAGTTCAGACTATCGTCACTCAACCCAATGGCCAGGAGATCGCAGCAACGCTTGTCGAGGCACCGCCGCAGGGAGCGGCCGAAGCGACACCTCCCGCTGGAGAAGCGCCAGCAGCAGCCTCGCCAGCAGCCCCAGCTGAAGCGACATCAGCATCATTACCAGCAGCTGGAGAAGCCACTGCCATATCGTCATCAACCGCCGCAAAAGCATCAGCTGAAGCGTCTGCTTCAGTACCGGCTGAGGCAGAGGCACCAACTACGTCGTCTTCAGCTAAAGGGGAAGCGCCGGCAGAAGCAGCACCCGCATCTTCGCTAGCCAAGGGAGAAGCATCAGCTTCGTCATCCGCTGCCGGAGAAGCCTCAGCTGCATCGTCGAAAGCTGCGGCCGAGGCACCAGAGGCAGCCACTGCATCAGCATCATCTGCCGTCGTTGAGAAGCCAGCAGAAGCTCCCGCTTCGTCCAAGGCGGTAAAGACAGTTTTCCCCGCTGGAAAGTCAGCTCTGCCAAAAGTGACCCCTATTCCCTGGACGAATGCGCCTTCCCAGATGGGAGGTATGGCTGCTGGAAACTCAAGCAGCATGGGTGCTAAAGGGGCCGCTATGCCCGCTGCTGAGCCTATGCAGACAGCCAGTCTAGCGGAAAGCAAGAACTCTACTGTACGTTGTTGTTCGAGGTGTCAATATAGTCGTCGCTAACATTACCAAAGGGTTCAGCAGCCGCCATGGCACCTGCAGCTGCTGTAACTGTATCAGCCGGATCAGAGCTCGCAGCTGGCGCTCAAGGTGCTTCAAACTCTACTTCCACCAGTACTGCAGCGATCGACTCGGCCAAGCTTACGGCCGGAGGTCTTGCTGCAACGACAACAACTGCAGTAGGCATGGCAGTCACAGTCAAAGCCGATGGAAACAGTACTGCTGGAGTTGCTAGCGCTTCTGGTGGAGGAGGAGCAGCAGCCGCGGTTACGGTTGTCGCTGGCTCAGGATCTGGAATGAACGGCACTGCATCCTCGGGTGGAGCAGCAGCCGCGGTCACCGTCGTCGCAGGCGGAGGAGGCAATGGGACCGCCGCCGGCCTTGCGGGAGCTACAACTACCTCCAAAGCTGCGGCTGCAGTCACCGTCGTCGCAGGATCTGGTGGTGCAGCCGCTGCTACGGCAGCTTCTCAATGCAACTGCGCGTGCATGTGCCCGGCTGGATCTTTCCCCATGTCCGCACCACAGGCCCAGCCTTTCCAATTAGGATCCATGAGCAGCGCGCCAACAATGAGTCAAAGTACCATGCAGACTGTCGTGGGCAGTGCGGTAACAGTTGAGGCCGGGGGTTCTCCACCGCCTGGAACACAGCAGGCTGCTTCGACCAGCTCAAGCAGCACCGTAGCTATCGACTCGGCTACACTGACTCGGCCTGGCCTTGTCGCAGGGACTACGACGAGTGCGGCTGGAGCGGGTGTAACTATGATGGCTAGCGGATCTGCTTCTGCTTCTGCTTCTTCGGCCGCTGCAACATCATCATCTGCAAGTGTAACACCATCTGTCGAGGTATCGCTTGCATCAGCGACTTCTTCCTCTCCTTCTCTAAAAGCAACAACAAGCGCGCAGGCTCAGAGCCAAGTCGCAGCCGGTGCGCCTGCACCTACGCCCGTTGAAGAGCCTCTGCCTTTCGATATCAGCACTGTTGCGCTACAGAGTCGAGTCACGGTAAATCTCGGAAGGAGGTTGGTAAAGCCGACGCCGGAGGTTCAGGCAGCGATGTGGTGGTGGTAGATGTCTCATTTTTGACAATATACAGATGTCTATGCTTTGTTAGTTTCTATGTTATATAGTTGATTGTAGCAGTTGAGCATTGAGTGTTCCTGCGAGGTAGTAATGTTGAGAGAATACAAAGGTGTGGGTATGATCTTTCTTGTGCATTGCTGCTCGTGTCTATGGGTATCATCTGCCGTCTGTCTGGATAGAGTCAAAATGCTCCTTCCTCAGGATTCTGTCACTTCTCCACCCCCCTCCTGTACTTTTGCCTTTTTGTTCTTGGCTTGCTGGCGCTTCGAGATTGGCTTTTCCGCCTTGGTCTCGTGCAGGGGAGTGCCCTCTAAGCTCTCGCCTGGCCGCTTGCCGTTCTGGTTCTTGTTCGCTTTCCCCTTCGGATCTTGCTTGTCCTTGCCCTTAGCCACAGAGCTTTGTGCTGGCTTCTCTCCACCATAGACGATATCTATGATGCCCTTAAAGCTCTGGCGCTTCAATCGCGCATACTCGACTACACTCCTAGGCTCCTTTGTAAGACCATCTTTCCCTCTCTCTGTGCCGAGTCCCCAGACAGAAGCCAGGTTGATGACATCGCTCGGTGCGCGTATGCCTAGCACGCTCTTCGCTTCCGAACTAAAGATGATGCCCCGACCACGGGTCACGCGTATGAGCTGTGTCGCATTGCTAATCAGGTTGCGCTTTGCGGCGGGGTCGCTCGACATGATACCCTGGCTGTAGCATATTTCGATCTTAATACCACGGGATATAGCTGTCCCCAGCGTAGGGAACTTGAAGTGGGACTCGAATCGCCGGGTCAGGTCGAGTGAAATTATGTCTACGTCCAGACTCTGACATGCCTGCTGGAGAGTGCGGTCGTCTGTGGGTCGCGCGGCTACGAGGTCATATTGCTGCTGGAGTTGTGGTATGCGAAAGTTGGAGGCCGAATCGGTAAGGAAGATATTGCATCGTCGTAGAATGCGCATGCGTGGAGGGACCGGGAAGGGGAGTTTTGTGGGTACAGGCGAACTCTGGTTGAGCAGCGCATTAGCGATTGAAAAGAGGAAGGTGAAAGGGTCGCAGTTTCCTCGACGTACTATATCAGTCGGCAGTTTCCCCGAATACGTGTGCGTGAGAGCAACGACGTCGTATCCTACTGCACCGCGTCAGTCTACCGCCGGCGCATTCAACTACAACTCGAAGAGCTCACATTCGTCGAGGAAAGCTACTGTGCGCTGCAGCTCGCGCGTCGCGTCCGTCCAGGGAACATTCAGGTCGTGAAACATGGCTGCACTAGCTAGAATGACTACTGCAGAGGTGGAAGGAGAAATGCGGCAGCGCAAGCTAAATAATTGTAAGTGAGATAGAAGGGATCGTCATCAGCACCTGGGCCCGCCTGCCGGAAAAGCTTGGCCCTTGCCTGGTACTAGTCTAACGCCCACAAGCCATCCTCCACCACCAACACGAGCAGCCAGAGCTCACCACCGCCGACACCCAGGCACCCCCGCCCAACCACAAGGCCCATCGCGACTGCCGTGACGGCCCTCTGTCGCGCCTTCCTCCATACCCGCTCCTTGCGCTCGCTGTCCTTGGTGCGCTTGCAGGCCTTGCCCTCTTCTCCCAGGGTCCCGACCTCCTCCGCTTCTTCACCCCACTATACGACCCCTCGCTCGATACAACAGCCCCTTGGCGCAGAGATATCAGTACAGACCTCGAAGAACGCGCAAAGTGGAATTCCACAGATCTCCCGGAGAACTGCTTTGTTGTCCGAATGGCGTTGAACAACAGTAGCGGGGCTACAAGCCTCGCTCGCGTCTACGCCGATGTCAACGCGAACATGCCTCGGTCGTACTGGGACTACGACTCGGTGAACATCTCCTGGGGCGTGCTCGAGAACTACGAGGTCGTCCGCAAGATTGGCCGCGGAAAGTACTCGGAGGTCTTTGAGGGCATCAACGTGGTTAACTACCAGAAATGCGTCATCAAGGTCCTCAAGCCCGTCAAGAAGAAGAAGATAAAGCGTGAGATCAAGATCCTGCAGAATCTGTCGGGTGGCCCCAACATCGTCTCGCTGTTGGACGTGGTGCGCGACAACCAGGTTAGTGACGGCTCCGACTGGATTGGCGACTGGGTACTGAGGCCCAACCGCTGCCGCGTGCTCGAGAGAAAGGCTGACCAGCGATCAACAGAGTAAAACACCCTCGCTGATATTCGAATACGTCAACAATACCGACTTCAGGAGTCTGTACCCCAAGTTCCAGGACTACGACGTGCGATACTACATCTTCGAGCTGCTCAAGGCCCTCGACTACTGCCACAGCAAAGGCATCATGCACCGTGATGTCAAGCCTCATAACGTTATGATCGATCATGAGAAGCGGAAGGTGGGCACATCCTATCAGAGCAGAGGAGCACAGCTAACGAGTACTAGTTGCGCCTAATCGACTGGGGTCTAGCGGAATTCTACCATGCAGGAACCGAATACAACGTTCGTGTCGCGTCACGTTACTTCAAGGGCCCCGAGCTACTAGTCGATTTCCAAGAGTACGACTACTCGCTTGATATGTGGTCGCTGGGTGCCATGTTCGCCTCAATGATCTTCAGGCGGGAACCATTCTTCCACGGCAACAGCAACTCTGACCAGCTCGTCAAGATTGCCAAGGTGCTTGGAACAGAGGACCTGTTCGACTATCTCGACAAGTACGACATTGAGCTAGATGCCCAGTACGACGACATACTTAGTCGGTATCCCAAGAAGCCGTGGCACTCGTTCATCAATGCCGAGAACCAGCGCTTTGTCAGCAACGATGCGATTGACTTCCTCGACAAACTGCTGCGATACGATCACCAGGTACGTTCTGTCATATGTAAAGATGCGGTGTCAGACTAACATGTATCAGGACCGACTGACCGCCCAAGAGGCCATGCAACATCCTTACTTTGCGCCCGTCCGACAGGCTGCGCAGCAAAACAGCACCGCGGCATGATTGAGATACCCATTCACGTAATTAGACTTTATGTAATAGCATAAAAGTTACAGCAACGAAATACTCTCCAATCCATCTGTTGCAAGTTTTCTTGGCTGGAGACACAACTGAGGTGCCGGCGTATCAGAACAAGGCGCAAATCACGGAGCGGCAGTGCATAGGGCAAGGTGCTAGGTATCGTTCTTGTATAAGCGATGGGGAGCGCAATGGTATATCGCAGGCGCATGGGAGCAAACAAAGCTCAACAAGTACTCGGCTCAATGCATATTGGGGTGTTGGTGGACGCTCATTCTTGCTAGAAGTGTCTTATGCTCACGGTAGTCAATGATGAATCTTTTTGTGACACACCTATCTCTGACTCGACTTGTGCATCTCATCTGGTGTTTTGCTTTTCATCACATATGAATCATCGTCGGGCATTCCCGATGTGAGATCGGAGAGCTCCTATCGTCTGGCAATGACTGTGTCCCGTAATGACTGTGTTGTATGCAGTCATGGAGCAACGAGCATGGCTCAATGGTTCGTCGTCGTAGGCGGGGTCCGTCCGAGCTCCAGGATGTGGGGTGACGCAGGCCGGACTTGGACGACTCACACCCAGGCACTTTTTTGTTAATGTTGCCCCGCACCGCGCCCACTACACTGCGCGCCGCCTGCAGACGAAACCTCGATTTTCAAAATCTTGCCAGACGCCCATTGCAATTGAGACGGCCAATCCGCAGCCTATCGCGAACCTACACGCCGCTTCACGCTGAGCGCGTGCTCACCCACAAACACCACTACTCGACCGCAACCATGGCGCTCAACGCGTCCTCCCACAACTCGACCGGCGAGAAGACGACGCCAAACACTGCGCCGCCGCCCGAGCTCAGCGCAGACGTCAAGAAAGACATCCTTGGCGCTGCTGAGAACGAGGCCACCGGCCAACATGCGCCTGGCCGTGAGAACGACAAGGGCGTAGAGAAGAAGGAGAAGTCCGCCAAGGAACTCGAGAAGGAGCGCAAGAAGGCCGAGAAGGACGCAAAGTTCAAAGCAAAGAAAGCAGCTGCGGCCGGTGCCTCCAAGGACGTCGCCGCTCCAGCCAAAGAGAAGAAGAAGAAGGGCAAGGAGGAAGAGCAACTACCAGAATACGTCGAAGAGACACCCAAGGGCGAGAAGAAGAGGCTACGGCCCCTAGACGACGCATACACAAAGGCATACATACCCAAGGTCGTCGAGTCGGCATGGGATGCATGGTGGGATTCCCAGGGCTTCTTCAAGCCTCAGTTCGCCGAGAACGGAGACGTCAAGGGACCCGGACACTTCGTCATTCCCATCCCGCCACCCAACGTCACCGGAAAGCTACACTGCGGACACGCGCTCGCTACGAGTCTCCAGGATGTCCTCATACGGTGGCATAGGATGAGGGGCTACACCACCCTCTACCTGCCTGGTTGCGATCACGCTGGTATCGCTACACAGTCCGTTGTCGAGAAGATGCTCAAGCGGAGGGAGAACAAGACGAGATACGATCTTGGTCGCCAAAAGTTCCTTGAGCGGACTATGGAGTGGAAGGAGGAATACCATCAGCATCTCACCAACACCCTCCGCAGAATGGGTGGATCGTTCGATTGGACACGCGAGGCTTTCACTATGGATGAGAACTGCTCCAAGGCTGTTACGGAAACCTTCGTACGCCTGCATGAGGATGGCTTGATCTACCGCAGTAACAGATTGGTCAACTGGTGTACGGCTCTCAACACGGCGCTTAGCACACTTGAGGTCGACAACAAGGATCTGGCTGGACCTACCAAGCTGTCTGTGCCTGGGTACGAGAGGATGGTTGAGTTCGGTGTCCTTACTCACTTCAAGTACGCCATCGAAGGTACTGACCAGTTCATCGAGATCGCTACAACACGTCCCGAGACTATGCTCGGTGACTCCGGTATCGCTGTTCACCCCAAAGACGACCGTTACAAGGACCTCGTCGGAAAGAAAGCCCGTCACCCCTTCATCGACCGTCTCATGCCCATCGTTGCTGACGACTATGTCGACCCTGAGTTTGGTACCGGAGCTGTGAAGCTTACTCCAGCGCACGACCCTAACGATTTCAACCTCGGAAAGAAGCACGGTCTTGAATTCATCAACATCTTGAACGACAACGGAACCATGAACAAGAACGCTGGTCAATTTGAAGGTGCTAAGCGTTTCGATGTTCGTTACACCGTCGTTGATGCGTTGAAGAAGGCGGATCTTTTCGTAAAGACGGAGCCCAACCCCATGAAGGTCCCCATCTGCTCAAGATCTGGCGACGTCATCGAGCCTATCATGAAGCCCCAATGGTGGATGAAGATGGACAGCCTGGCTAAGCCCGCTATCGAAGCCGTCGAGAAGGGCGACATTAAGATCAGGCCCGCCACCTCCGAGAAGGTCTACATGCACTGGATGAACAACATCCAAGATTGGTGCTTGTCCCGACAGCTGTGGTGGGGTCACCAGATTCCCGCGTACTTTGTCGAAATCGAAGGTCAAGCGGGTGACCGAAGTGAGGACGAGCTCTGGATCACCGGCCGCACAGAAGAGGAGGCGCGGGCCAAGGCAGAGAAGAAGTTCCCCGGTAAGAAGTTCACGCTATCACGGGATGAGGATGTTCTCGACACATGGTTCTCTTCCGGTCTGTGGCCATTCTCCACCCTCGGCTGGCCCAACCAGACTGCCGATCTGGAGAAGCTCTTCCCCACATCTGTTCTCGAGACTGGATGGGACATTCTCTTCTTCTGGGTTGCCAGGATGATCTTCCTCTCCTTGTACCTCACCGGCAAGGTTCCGTTCAAGGAGGTCTACTGCCATTCGCTCATTCGTGACTCTGACGGCAGGAAGATGTCCAAGTCGCTGGGTAACGTTGTAGACCCTGTTGACATCATGGATGGTATCACTCTGCAGAAGCTACATGACCAGCTTCGCGCGGGTAACCTTGATCCCAAGGAGTTGACCAAGGCGGAGAAGTACCAGAAGACAGCCTTCCCCCAGGGTATTCCCGAATGTGGTGCTGATGCGTTGCGCATGGCTCTTGTTGGGTACACCACAGGAGGAGGTGACATCTCGTTCGATGTCAACGTAGGTGATCCCTTATCTATTGTTCTCGATGTTGTATACTGACTAGTCATCAGGTCATCCACGGATACCGAAGGTTCTGTAACAAGATCTACCAAGCCACCAAGTACGTCATTGGACGTCTGGGTGACAACTTCACACCACGAGAGAAGGTCACAAAGGGAGGTTCAGAGTCACTACCTGAGCGATACATTCTGCATCAGCTCAACGTCGCTTCCAAGAAGATCAACGACCACTTGGAGGCACGCGAGTTCAGTCTGGCTACCCAGGCTGCCTACAAGTACTTCTACGTCTACCTTTGCGACACCTACATCGAGAACAGCAAGGCCATTTTCGACGAAGGCAGCGAAGAGCAGAAGGAAAGCGCGAAACAGACGCTCTACACCGCCATCGAGGGAGGACTGAACATGATCCACCCCTTCATGCCCTTCCTCACCGAAGAGCTATGGCAGCGTCTCCCCCGCCGTCAAGGCGACTCCACCCCCTCCATCACCATCGCGCCCTTCCCCCAATACAAGCCAGAGTTCGAAGACGAGACCGCAAACGCCGAATACGAGCTCCTCGTCGACAGCGCAAAGGGTCTCCGTTCTCTGACCGCCGAATACGCCATCAAAGAAGGCGCATCCACCTACATCAAGTCCCTGGACGACTCTACCCACGCCACCCTCTCAACCCCCACCTCCCTCCCTTCCATCCGCTCCCTCGCCGGCAAAACCGTCGCAGACATCAAAATCCTGTCTCCCACCGACTCCATCCCCTCCGGCTGCGCCGTCTACACAATCGGCACCGCCGCGACCGCGTACCTCGACGTCAAGGGCCGCATCGAGCTCGACAAGGAGATTACCAAGGCTCAAGACCGCCTCGTCAAGGCGAACGAGACGATTACGCGCCAGAAGAAGATTATGGATGATGAGTGGGAGCAGAAGGTTAGTGATGCGGTCAAGGAGCAGGAGAAGGAGAAGCTGAGGACTGCGGAGCTGGAGGCCAGGAATTGGGAGGCGAGTATTGAGCAGTTCCAGAAGATGAAGATTGAGTAGATGTGTGGCTTGTTAGAGAGGAGGATCTCGTGATTTCGATGGAGATGTATTAGCTTAGAAACGATCACTACGACGTAAAGTAAAAGTGCCAATTGATGAATGCAGATTCGAGTTTTGAACGAATTGGAATGTTGTACATTGGCTGCACTGTATCTCCGTGGGACTACGCAGAATCTCTCTGGGTTGGAGGCTTGGCTTTCCCATATCTTTTCCTTCCATCTTACTGTGGTGCAAGCCTCCTTACTTCCTATCGTAACACGGACCTCTGAATGAATCCGATAGGTATACATATGATGAAACGAACGCCTCGAATCCAAACCCCTGGCATGTTCCTTCCTTCGCCTCCACCCCAGCTTCCTCTCTCCTCATCTTCCCATTTAAGAAACAGCCTTAACCTCTAACGCGCCATTGGCACTCTCCTTAACCATCTGCGCATCCCCACCAGCACCCGCACTACTCTCGTTCTTAACCATAGTAGGCATACTGACGCTCCTGCCCTCGCCAAGCACCTCAGGCCTCCATCTAACCAGCAATTTCTGCGCACTAGGTTTCGCCCGCTCATTCTCCGTCCACATCTCTGCCAGGATATCGACGACGATCTTGCGAACAGGCGGGCGGAACATGTAAAGATAGTGGAGTGTGTTACACGCCAAGTCGATGCGCTCAGGGTCTTCGGCCATCTTCTTGAGGCGTACCAAGATGCTGTAGTCGATGGCGGGGATCTCGGAGAGGAAGCGGATGATGATCTTATCGGTGTGTTCGATGTAGGGTAGAATACCGTCGATGAGGCGAAGAGCGCAGCGGTGGTAGTTCCCTGGTGGCTTCGGCGAGGTGTGGTGGTTGGAGGAACCGTTTGCAGCGGTGTCTTCGGCGGACTCGGCGAGGACCATGTCGTTGTACCATTCTTCGTTGAGCCACGAGATGGCGACGTCGATGCGTGACTTCCAGTTGTACAGTATGTATTGGTAGAGGCCGTCTCTTACCGCATCGCTGATGTGCATGTTGCCCTGGGCGTTCTTAACGGCGTATTCATCTTTGATGCCTTCTTCCGGGTCGTCTAGGCCAGCGCTGGCTCGTGTAGCTAGCCGAGAGAGTATAGTGACCCAGGCGTCTCTGTTGTAGTCGGTAGCTGCGAGTCGATTAAAGCCGCCTTTTGCGACTTTGCTCTTTTGTGTCTCATCTACACTGCTCAGCATGCCGAAGGCTCGATGTACGGTCATGTCACCGTACTTCTGAACATCCTGTTCTGATAACGGAGGTGCCTCGGGCAGCTTGTAGGGTGCTAACGCGGTTGACGGTCCGCCTTGTGAGGAGAAGGGATTCGAGGGGATGCCATCGAGCTTGTTGATGAGTTGTTCAGCGTCTTCGGGCTCGAAGTCGGGCTCGTATTCCTCTTCGTCTTCTGCGGCGGCGGTGGGTAGGGGCTGTACAGGGCGACTTGGTGCGGTCTGTTTGAGTGTCTGATAACGAGCGCGGACGGCCTAAATGATGTTAGCACGGCCACGACCGACACCTCCAATAAAGCCTGAAACGTGCAGGCCAACGTGGGTCTGCATTGGACAGGGAACATCACATACGTTGATAGCTTGTTCAAGCTTCTGTGGGTTCACCGACTGCAGAACAGGCACGACTATCCTCAGCAATTGCTCGGGATCCCTGAAGTTTTGTACATCAAAGTTCGCAGTGCTGCCCTCAGCGTTCAGTGTGTATAGTTGTCGCCAGCTCACTTCACCAGGCGGTAGCGGCTGGACGGATGGCGTGCGACTTGGAGGCTCAGCAACCAACCGTTGCCTCTTTGCCGGGTCAAGACCATCAGTAGGCTCAACCGGCGCTGGACGTTTACGGTTAGATTCATCGAACACTTCAACCCGTGTACGGTGCATGCGTTCAAGGAACTGCTGTATCCGTCCGTTGATGGGGTTATCTGGGGAGTTTCTACGTTTGTGAGCATCAGCAGTACTATCATATAGCAAGGCAAACATACCTCTTTATGATGTTCACAAGCAGTGCCCTTGTTGTGCGCTCAATTGACTTCATGATGACCTTGTTCTTGGGCGTCATGGGCGAATTGGCGAGCTTGAGAGGGTTGAAGTTGAAGACACTGTTCAAGATCTTATTTGCAACATTTGGGCGGCGGTGGATTAGCATGCCCAAGCTGTTGAGTGTGGCAGTCACAAGCAAGCCGTCGCTAGTCTCTGTTAGAGGCATTCCAGCAGTCTGCGACTGTCTATCTAACCTGTGGTCTCCGTGTATGATATCCAGCAACCTGTCCAACAGCCCGTGTCCTTCAGCCTCGAGGCTCGCGTAGGGTATGAGGGGGTGGTCGCGGGATACGAGGGAGAGGGAGATGTCGTTCGGGTCGGCGCGCTGCGAGGGATCAGATGGCTGTCTATACATTGGGTAGAGTGTAGTATTTACCCTAGGGTCCGTAACGCCTGGTGTCTGTACAAGGACGACTTGCTGGAGGAACTTGACGCAACATATTCGCACACCGGGCGCGGCTGCGTCCATCCGGCGCAAGATGTTGGACTTGATGCCGGCCATAAGCTGCCATTTCTGGGCATCGCTGGCGTCGGAGACACTGACACATGCAAGTATAAGAAGGTGTTCGCGTGACAGCAATCATGGGCATCTGGCAAGGGGACCTCAAGATGCGCATGGCATATTTGACATGGGGACTTCTATCTGATGCCTGGGAGGTCACTTACATGTGTTTGTAGACAAGCGGGTACACGCTGGCAGCCGCCTGGATGGCGCTCTTGATGACGCTCTTGTCTTCAACATTGTCGAGGTAGGCTTTCAGAGTAGCCAGCACAGAGGGCGCGCTGTTCTGCTTGACGTCTTGAGGCCATGTTGGCGACGCAAAAGCCTCGGCCAGAAAGTCGGCACCCCAGCGCTGTATCTCGATGCTCTGGTCTTCACTGTAGCCGATGATGGGGAGCACGCCCGGTATGATGGTAGGATAGTATCTACCGTCGCCTAACGCGAGCGACCGGGCGGACTCCATCTGCTGTATCGTTTGCGAACTCATGGCGATGGCTGATGGCGAGTGCACACGAGACGAGCTTTGTTTCTTCGAAAGGGTGAAGAGAAGTGACGCTGCCTCACGCGCGCACGGCAGTCAGACTAAGAACGCGACAAAGCCCGGTATCCGACGTCAAGGGCGCTCCCATTCCCAGCAAAGCTAATAATCAAAGAGGCGTAGAGAGCGTGGAGAAGCGAAGGGGGGTTGCGCGACTGGTGTTGTTGACTACAGCTGCGGGTGGTGAGTGACGCGGAGTGTTCGCGGCAGTGCCATGATGATCTACGCCTGGCCGCCAAGGCCGCCTAGCGTGGTGGAAGTTCACCACCGCGGCGAGACATTGGCGATTCCCCGCAAAGCAGTGAGAGTCTCAGCACGCCAACATGGGATAGTAAGTGGCATTGCGCATGTACATCGAGGGTGTATGCTAACGCCGACAGCAAACCCTTCCGCTCGACCTACTATGACGACCGCATGCGGGCATCGCCGGCCCTGCTGCGAACCCGCGCGCCGTACCTGATCAAAAACACCATCACCGGCTTCGCTATCTGCACCCTGGTGGTTGGCATCTGTATGGTACACGCCTTCTCTGCCTAGAGCATTGACTAATTGCGCATAGACACATACACCATCAATGCCATCTCGCAGGATGAGTTCGAGGATGTCATCGTACCGGACAAGCCTCTAGACCGAGCCGCACAGCCACTGGGCACCACCCAAGCACTCCAGCAGGCAGTCGAAGCGCGGAAGTAGCGAAACACACGACCTTGTATATTGGTGTATAAGAATATGGGCATTGGGCAGGCGCTATAGGATCATTCAGGGAATACCACTTTTTAACCATATGATCTTGTTCGGCCCACAGAGTTGTCTTGAATTGGTTTGGTATTCCATCGCAGTCATTCGCAGCCATCAGGTCACTGGCCGTGTTTTGTGCCTTCCACATGCACTTGCCTCTCGCTACCTAATGCTCACGACTCATAGATTTATGGTTGCGTTTAACGAGTGCGCCTTGGCTCTGGATCCTTTTCAAACCCTGGGCCGTCTCCCACGATCACTGTCGCCTGACCTTGGCGAACTCAAAGTTCGGTATATCGCCATGTGGATCTGGTTCAGCCAACAGTAGGTGCTCTACTACAAAGCCAAATTACGTATGATGTATTCGCAGCCTACGAGCCTCATGGTTTCAGTCATCACTTAGTGCAGCGTGACCGTCTGAAGGTGGCAGCGTAAAGAGCGGTAGCATCCATAAATTAGCTGTGCGCCTGGAAATTTCTTCTATATGACTTTCCTCAGACACATATAAGACTTCCTCTGTCTATCTTACATCCCATCGCTAGCTATGGCTTCTCTTACCACCACTAACGCCGACCTTGCTCGGCTGAGCGCGAGCACCGACAGCAGCACTACCATCGACGAAGCCGATTTGAAGGCCTCCACCCGCGTCCAACGAAAAGACAAGTCGTCTGTTAGGCGCTGGTTCAGCTTTGTTCGTAAAATTGTCTCCCCCCAAAACACACGAAAGCAGTCAGAGTGTTCGACATGCGGGAAGAAATCCGAGGAGTCTCTCGTCCAAGTCTCCCCTCCCAGAGCATCATCCACCATCGCCATCGCTCCCTCCAGTACTTATGAGGAAGGCATCGAAGGCACAACGAAGGTGGACCCGACTGCCTTCCTGAGGCCTGTTGCGCGGTCCACATCTGTACCCGCATCCCTTCGTCGCTCGGCTCCCGCCCCTGCCTTCGCAAGTTCTTATCTCGAGGCAATCTCTGAAGAACCAACAGACTCGTCGACACATCGATCAGACACGGTCGAAACCGTCAAAGTCGACGACTCCACGCCACCCAAGCCGGCAAAGGCCAAACGCAGTCACGGCCCCCGCAAGCCGATCATGATTACCCCCGACCTGATCAAGAAAATCGAGAGGGACAACAAGAAACGCCAGGGTCCGCCTGTTCGAGTGGCTGAGGCGAAGAAGAATAGCAGGGGCGCTGTTGCCTCGGGGTCTGGTGCGAAGGGTGTTCGCGCCAACCCGATGAGATGGTCGCAAGACTAAGGGGAGGATGAAGGTCAGCGGAAAGGATGGTATAAGGGGACTCACCCCATATGGCCCTAGGAAACGTGCTTTCTCGAATTCATCGCGATGGTGTGGCATGGAGACATTCCCTGCATCTTGCACCATCACTGGCATTTAGCAAGACTTGGGAAAAGCTTCACACTAGTTCTTTATATTACACAACAGTTAGAATTGATACGCGATGTTCTCGAAAGCATCGCACTTGATTTACAATAGATATGATCTCGATACACGCGCAGACATTTGTGACCCTGTTCTATACTAACAATCACTTCAACTTTCTCCAGGTGCTAGGCACGAACCCGAAGAATTCGAAATTTTCCAGCAACACAGATAATATTCAACACTTTGTGCGCGACCTTTGCTGACTACAACGTTGATTCCCATGGTAGAAATCTTTGCAATACCACACCCGGGCGACTACAACGCCGCCCAACTCTTTTATCCGCTCCACATCCCACATTTGTCAGCTCCAGCCCATCCATTCAGCGTATACCTATTGTATACTGGCTGGACGACATACCTCTCCTTTAGGCTGATACAAAAATTTATGGTCACTATGTAGCCCCCAGATTTGTTCTCCGTCCTTTAAGAGTAATGAACCAAACATATCATAGGCACAGTCATAGCTTTTCAAATATAAAACTCATATACTTTTCACATAAGAATCCTTTTAACTCCAACATTTTAGTAAAGCCTATCGAATTCATTCAACAATTCTCCTACTATTGCCTTACATTCACCCACATAAACAACCACAAAGATGGCACCAAAGCAAGCGCCCACCTTCCCTCTATCCACCAACAAACCAATTCCAAGCCCACGCTCCAAATGCGCCTGGGAAATCAAAGTACGACAAGTCCGTGAGAACTCTCCCGTCTCCCCCTCCTTCCTCTTCGCCACGCCAATCCGCTCCTTCACTATTACACCGAAGCGGAAACGCTCGTCGAGCGAAGATGAAGACAACGTCAAAAGCGAGGACAAAGACGCACAAGAACACGAACAAAGACATGTTGCCAAAGTCGCAAAAATGGAGGAGACACCAGACACAGCGTACGATGCCGATGACGAGGGTGCAAACGACACTGAAGAGATATCTCTTCCAATCATAATACCCGATCCTTACTTCTGGTATAGGAATGCGACGGGGCAAAGCCAGCCCCAGGAATACTGGTACCCTGGAGTACCGCCACAAGAAAAGCGAGAGAGCAAGGAAGTGCCTTGGTATTACAAGCCCTCCCCGTTTCTCGAGGGTTACTGGGGTTCCCAGTACCTATTTCTTGCTGAGAGGCAATGGAAGACGTCTTATTCATTGCATAAGACGGGTGAAGAGGATGTGAAGATTAGTGTTGGAAGACGGAAGAAGTACAAGGCGGGAGAGGGGTGGGCAGTGGTAGAAAAGAACTTGAGTCTCGAGATTAAGGATAGGGGATTGCCGAGTTTGGCAGAGGAATAGTATTGAGTTGCAGGGCAGTTTGATTGAGGATGTTAGACAGCTATTAGAGAATTCGTCGGAATAGGGATACCATTACCACACCATACTACCAGCTAACTGACTATTCCCTAAACCATCTCCTCATCCTTCACCCTCTGCTTCTCCACACCATCCACCGTGCCATCCCTACCCTCCTTTCCTCCCTTAACCCTAAACCCCACACCAGGCACCCTACTCCTCAGCGCCAGACTGCTACAAACCACAGACACGCTACTCAACGCCATCGCCAAACTGGCCCAGACAGGATCAAGTCTGATATGCTTCCTCCCCGTATCCTCCATCGCCATACCGCCTTCCATACCAATACCGTTATGATGCATGTCCATCTGCTTGCCGCCGGTGGTGATTGGGAACAAGACGCCTGCGGCGATGGGCATGGCGACGAGGTTGTAGATGAGCGCCCAGCCGAAATTGAAGTATACGCGACGGAATACGACGCGGGAAAGATCGAGAAGGGTGAGGATAGTTGTTAGGCGGGAGTTGATCAGGATGAAGGAGGAAGACGAGAGGGCAATGTCAGAACCAGAGCCGATTGCTATGCTGAGGTCGGCGGTGGAGAGAGCGGGTGCGTCGTTGATGCCGTCACCTACCATGGCGACAGTTGCGCGTTTTTGCTTCTTGTCTCTCTGGGATAGGAAGGGAATGTTGAATACAGATTTGTGCGGCTTGGTGAGGGTCTGCTGAAGGTACTTAATCTTCTCGGCTTTCTGGTCTGGGAGGACGCCGGCAATGATGTTCGATGTCGGGATCCCGACTTGCGCGCCTACAGCGTTGGCTGTAGTTTGGTTGTCACCAGACAGCATCCAGACGTCCATGCCGCGTGCGTGTAGGGCTGATATGACGCTTGGTGCCTCGGGACGGAGCGGATCCGCGATGGAGAAGCTACATGCGAGTCGCCAGGATGACGCAGGTTGAATTTCAGTGACGGCGAGTGACAGGGCCTCCGACGTGTCCGATGGCTCAGACTGCTCTGCCACACTTTGCTCACCAGTTCGTGGTAGAAACAAGGCGACTAAAGCGACCGAATCTCCCTGCGACTTCCACTTCTGCAGGGATGACGCATCGGCGGCGGGGATAGGGACGTTGTGGTCAGCCATGAAGCTTTCATTACCGATGATCGCCACGATGTCTTGTCCATCGACCCTGAAAGTGCCCTTGAGACCCTTGCCAGGCACCTCATCAACGTTGACTGCTGTAGGTGTATCGTGGGTCTCCTTGCTACAGAAAGAGACTAGCGCTCGAGCGATAGGATGACTGCTGTTCTCTTCCAATGCCTTGACAATACCCAACACGATTGCAGCGTTCTGACCGTTAGAGAACTTGTGGTTCGTTACTGCTGGATCGCCACCCTGTGTCAAGGTGCCAGTCTTGTCAAAGACGATGCAGTCGAGTGAACTGGCTTCTTGGAAAGCTTCACCACCACCGCGGACCAGGATACCGTGTTTGGCGGCCAGTCCACCTCCCACAAAGAGCGCAGTGGGTGCGGCTAGTCCGATACCGCAAGGACAAGCGATGACGAAGACGGCAATGGCAAAGCGAAGAGACCAAAGCTCCCAGCCGCCAGCAGATTCATTCTTCCAATCGCTCGGTATCGCACCAGTAGTACCAAGGATGAGCCAGACAAGCCAGGTGACGATGGCAACGGCGATGACAAAAGGTACAAAATGCGAAGTGATAGTATCAGCGACGCGTTCGACCGGTGCGCGACGTGACTGCCCTTCACGCACGGCATGAATTATCTGATCCAACATGGAAGTACCCGATACTGTCGTAACCTTGATCTTGACGGGTGAACCTTTATTCACTGTACCGGAGAACACAGTATCACCCTGGGTCTTCTTGACCGGACGCGACTCGCCAGTCAAGCTAGACTCATCAAAGTTAGTGCTGCCTTCGATAATATCTCCATCAAACGGTGGCGAAGTGCCATTGTGTACTCGAACGACATCACCGACCTCGAGAAGGTCGGTAGCGACCTTAGTATCGCCTTTCTCTGTATCGACAAGGACAGCCTCGTTTGGTCGAAGCTTTCCAAGCGAGGTGACAGCATCGCCAGTCTTGGCTTTGCTGTAAGCTTCCAAGAACCGGCCGATGAGTAAGAACATCGTCAGGAAGACTACTGCATCAAAGTAAGAGTCGTTCATGGAACCAGAAGACTTCTTCGTGGCAGCCAAGATGAGCTCTACGATTGATGCCAGATATGCGATTGTCGTACCGAGTGAGATGAGCATGTTCATGCTGCCGAAACGGGTAAAGCGGTGCAGATAAGGGGTCCGGCTTCCTGGTCGCCACATTGATCTCAGCTCTTTCAGTGCACGCCGATGAAATGTATCAGCGGCGAGGAAGTAGATAGGCGTAGCGAGGAAGAATAGTGCCCAGCTTAATCGAGTGACGTTGCCGGCCCATATCTTGCCCATGAAGTATGTGCGTATAGGGTCTTCGGAGCTAATCAAGCTCATGAAGACAATTCCTAGGATAAACGTGGGAATCGCAACCACGATGCATAGAATGAGGCGGAACAAGATACGTTTCCGCTCTTCCGCATGCATCTCGCGCGCGCGCTCTTCCAGTGTCGGAGGGTGGAAGACCGAAGGCTGGAACGCTGGGTTGAGGCTCTTGATGCTCGAAAAGATCTTTCGGATCGTGAAACGAGGAGGGTCCGGTACATATCTGATATGCAGAATGGGTTGCTCGAGCGATAGTGATGGACAGTCGACCACAAAACTGCGCTCGTCCTCAAACGCTTCCCGCAATCCTCGGGTAATGTTGTCTGGGCAGTGGTGGCAGAACATACCATCTATGCGAATCGCGACAGAACGCTCGATGGTGTCGGTCACTGTGGCCCCGTCTTGAACAACTTGATCGAGAGTGGCAGTGTATCCTACGTCCTCGATACTTTCCTTGATCTCTGGCAGGTGTTCCTTGCCTCTGAAGATGATGGTCGCACTGTTCGAGATAAGATTGATATCGACCTTCTCAATCCAGGTGAGGGGTCGTAGCGCTTGGTTGACGTTTCCAACACAGGCGGAGCATGTCAGACCTCCGAGGGAATATGTTGCGTGCCACCTCTCGCTCTGTTGCTTCGACGCGGCTACAGCTCCGGGCGATGTGGTCTGCACCTCCTCGAGCTTCTCCACTGCGACATCGAACCCACAATCTTCGATCGTCTCGACAAGCTCCTCGCACTTCTCTTTGCCACTGAAGATTATCACTCCGCTGTTAGTCAAGAGGTTGATATTGACTGTCTGGACCCATGGGTGTTCCTGGACCGCGTGGGTAATGGCAGAAACGCAGGAGCTGCATGTCATGCCGGTAACCGAAAGCGTTGCTTTGCAGACTTGTAGGGCCGCAGGCGAGTCAACAGCAACGAAGGCCTCGGATAAAGGCGACTTTGGTTCAGGCGACGAGAAGCCATCGGAGCTACCTCTGGGTGAAGTCGTGACAATAGGCGCAGGCTTGAATCGCAGCAACTCGTCGCCGTGCAAGCTAACCCCACCACCTTCTCTCTTGCACTGCTCGCACTGAGCTAGGTGAATTTCTTTCTTCTTCATGTCGTCGTGTGAGTCTTCAAGGTCGGCAGCAGGATGTAGCCAGTGATTGACAGCGCGTTCAAAGCTAGTGTGCCACTCCTTGCTCTTACCCTCGGGGTTCTTAACCTCGATCGGACTCCGGACCGCCTTGGTATCTTGAAACACGCTGTGTATCTCGAATCCCGCAGCCTCTAGCGAGACGGTGATGTCGTCAAGGTTGAGAGAAGCGGCGTGGCGTACGACCACTGAATGTGAAACGATGGAGACGAATACGTCTTGTGGCGGCGGTGAGAGCGCGGTGAGAGAGGCTTGGATACCGTCCACACATGACGGGCAGTGGAGATTAGAAATAAAGCATGTCGTCGTTGTGGTGCCGTTCACCGCAGGATCGCGCAATCTGGGTAACGGCGCAGCGGGAGACATGGTGACTGGTTCGCGTTCGGGGTGACCTTGGCTGTGTAATATCGACAATGTCGGTACTCCTCAATCAATCGGGTGGATGACTCTCTTGCTCAGGCGATGATTGATAGATGTCAGTGGGCGCCGGTTCCGGGGTAGTAGCCAACGGCTGTCGTCGCGCAATCAAAGCAATCAAGGAAGCGACTGGGCGTGGACGAAGGAAGGAACGTTCAAGGAAACACAACACGATACTGGAACCCTCAGATATAAGTGAAACCCGAATTTTCGAGCCTTTTCTGCGAAATGTGTCATTGCTACCTACATTTCTGATTCATCGTCCAAAAGCGTGACAGTGGCGGCCGCACAAGTCGCGCAGTCGCCACGAGCGAGGTTGAGTGGGTCTCCGCACAAACTGCGCAGTGGCAGCCCACCCGTCTGACTCGCCGGGCCGCATCGTTGGCAAATAAACCCTTGCGCAAACATGTGCATGCAGCATTGCGTGTGTGTAGGAGGAATCTCACTCCAGGCACTGTTCTTTGTCTGCGTGCTGGCTTGGCTTATGCCGCACTGGCGTCAGCGGATCTGCAGCCACGTGAAAACAAGCTTCTCGCTTGCCCCGGATTCGTCCACCTTTGGCTCCCGACATGCATATGTCTTCATCTAGATATATAGATAGCAATCTGGAAATACCGACAGCCCTATGCAGTGTATCACGCGGAAGGGCGGCATCGTGATTGCGGAGGACCAATACCGGTACGGGCCATCTAGAAGGAGAGCTGTGCGTCTTGCGAAATTATTTCCCAAGCGGGTTGTACTCTGATAGGCGTGTAGAGGCAAGCGCAAAGACTCTGCGAGCGAGTGGGTCTTCATCTGAACTCCGGCCGTGTTAACAGCAGTTCAGAATCTGTGGATACCGCGCTAGAAGCCCGATTTTCCGCAGGCACGTCTCTTGGTCTACAAATCCTAGGCGCAAAATTTCCAGATAATGATTAGTATAGAAGACTGAGTCACTCAAAAAGCACGATAGATCGT